GACTAGATGATCTGCCCAGGTCCCTTCCGACCCTAGAAACTATGAAACTATGAAACAGATTACAAAATAAAACATAACAGATGAAATGGTGTCACACTTGTCAGTTCAATCTGCTCCCCACCATCCCATCCAGGAAGGGAATTAAAAACTTGGTAGTTGCTGCTAACTCCCCTGCTTCTATGCAGGATCTGGCATGAAAGATAGCCTGCACGGGAGAGAAAGGAGAGTCCTTTATATCCCTGGAGCCTTGGATTAGTGTAAATTTAAACATTGTAAGTTAAATAAAACTAGATAGAATGTTAGTTATTGTAATAATGAACCCTTGTTAAGGAAGGTTTTTAAAGATGTGGTACCCAGTTCAGAACAGGAATATCATGATATTTGTACCTCACACTTGGATTAAATTTAATTCAAACTGTATTTTTAATCAGTAATGGAATTTGATGGGGAATTATCTGAGAAAATTTAAACCAAAAAGGCTCTAAAGGAATAACCTTTAAAAACCTGTAAATTATTCACATTGTGTTTCCTTTATATATTTCATGTTAGTTTCATAATTTATTTTAATACTTTGTTTTGTTCTCTTACTGTAAGCCACCCCAAACCTTTGTTGGTAAGGACAGCATGTAAATCTAATAAATAAATACATTTATTTTTAATAATTTTTTTAATGCTTTTAAATTCAAGACGCCTAAAGGGTATTAAAACTAGCTTCCATGTTGTAATGTTTGAACAACCCAGTGGTTAAGTGCTTGTTCTCACCCTAAAAACACTCTCTTGATCTGTTGGAAGTTTTTTATTAAATACCAGATTCACAGATTCCTAGTCTGCACCACCTGTGACAGGAGTGGCAGCAGGGATCAGGCCAGCTGCAGTGACTGAGATGGATGGGCTGGTGGCAGTAGTTGCTGTTCGCATGCCCCCTCTAAATGGGCACCTGGAGCTGGTGGCCCAATCGCCCACTGCTCCTTATGCTGTTGTAGACTCAGATGTCATTATCAGTGGGCTTTTGAGCCTCTTGAAATCACTGTTATCATTGAGAGCAATACTTTTACGTGCTACACATTTTGAAGTTCACTTTTGATTTAATTCTAATTTATCAGTCTGGGCACAGTAGCAACAGAGATGGCAGCACTAGACGTATGGCTCTCAACTTGAACGTGTTTGAGTATTGCTCATATTTTTTCCTAGTTATTTATTCTTCAGTGCATCTCTTTTCTGTGTGTGCATATGCAATAAATTAAAATATATCATCCATAAGCTGAATTGTCATGCATTAATCGCCAGATAGATAAGATAAGCTTTCTTATGAATATGCATTATATGTCTAAGCAGCAATGTTGTAAATAGCCAAGGACAAATAGTTGCCACTTTGGACCAAAAGGATGAGATGGCTGACAGTCCATCAACCAGTAGGGGAACTCCCTACTTGAGAGCACGGAGGCGGAAAGGGATCTTGGTGTCATTATTGACTCCAAGATGAACATGGGCCGACAATGCGAGGTCATGGTTGGCAGGGCTAACCGGACCTTGTCGTGCATCCACAGGTGCATCTCGAGTAGAGCCAGGGAGGTGATCCTCCCCCTCTATGCGACGCTGGTCAGGCCGCAGCTGGAGTATTGTGTCCAGTTCTGTGCGCCCCATTTCAGGAGGGATGTGGACAACATGGAGAGGGTCCAGAGGAGGGCCACCCGCATGATCCGGGGACAACAGGGCAGACCCTACAGTGAGAGACTGCGGGACCTGAACCTATTCAGCCTCCACAAGAGAAGGCTGAGGGGGGACCTGGTGACCGTCTATAAACTCACTAGGGGGAACCAGAAGGGTTTGGGGGAGACGCTGTTTCCCCTAGCCCCCGCTGGCATAACAAGGAGTAATGGGCACAAGTTGATGGAGAGGAGGTACAGATTGGACATCCGAAAAAACTACTTCACAGTTAGGGCGGCTAGGAGCTGGAACCAACTTCCAAGGGAGGTGGTGCTGGCCCCTACCCTGGGGGTCTTTAAGAAGAGGCTGGATGCCTACCTGGCTGGACTCATTTGAGTCCTGTTTTTGTTTTTAGGGTTTTTTTGTTGTTCTCCCGCCCTGGCGGGGGGTCGGGCTAGAAGATCTATTAGGTCCCTTCCGACCCTAAAACTATGAAACTATGAAACCTGATGATCCCTCAGTCTGGAGCAGGGGTCAACTCTAGATGGTTTTTTAAGTTCAGACAATAATAGTAGATCAAAATTTTATAACTTCTGAGTGTGAATATCATCTGTGTGTGTGTGTGTGTGTGTGTGTGTGTGTGTATCTGCAATCCCAAATAGATCCTAAGCTCCCTAAACATCTTAAGTAAACAGGCAACATGGTTAGGAAGTCCAACTGTGAAGGAGGAGACCTGGAGTTATTTCTCTGCTCTGCCACACATTCACTTGTGAAGTTGGCAAGTTACTTGACCTTCTTTGTCTTGGTTTTTCTATCTGTGAAGTAGCAATGATGATAACTAACTTTATGAAGAGCTTTGGGATGTGCACATAAAAAACACTATATTAATATGAAGTATTCATACAGTTAGCAACCTTCTGGAACAAGCAGGAAGGAAGACAATTAGTGGCCTTGTCTGCACTGCTTGCCTCTAGTGTCTTTGATGCTAATCGGCCAGCCTTATACTCTATCCTATTCTCCAGGTTTCTGAGAAGCCAACAAGGCCTCCTGCAATCTCAGCCTACAGAAATAGACTTTAGGGGAAAGTATAGATCCCCTTATTCTATAGGAGCAGCACAGCCCCTGAACTGAACATAGGGCCTGAAATGTCCCAGAGAGCTCTTTATGTAGTAGGTAGGCACACCTCTGGAAACTGATGGGCTTCACTCATGTAGGCAATATCCTAGTCAAAGGCAAGGAGAGAAATTAATGTGCTGTTATCCCTATACTCTGCACCATTTCAGCTCTAAGTGGAAAAGCTCTTCCAGCTGAGAGGCCTACTTCAGCGCTCCAGGCTGAATAATAGATGTATGTTGCATGTCCTGGGTTTCATGGCCAATCTTTCAGAGACAACACAGTGCTAAAAAGCACTTTCACAAGGGCTCTTAATCACCAGGCACATTCTTAGTAGAAGCAAATTGCTGTTCCTTATCTAAAAGGTGGACTCAAAAGCTGTAATTAGTGCTCTAATAGTAGCAGAATTCACCTGCTGTCCTGTGACTGATCCCAGACTTGTAAAACTCCTGGACATGGAAATTGTAAGAGACAAAATGTGTCAAAAATGATTTCAGATGAGGATGGGAATCAGAGAGTGTAAAGGTGAGTCATAATCAGAATGTGATAGTGATGACTGATATGCTTCAAGTAGGAATGGGTATGGGGGAAGAAAAACAATTCTAACCTCAAATGCGTGCAGTCAAAAAGAGTGATAGCATGATATGCTGGGTGCCTCTCAGATTAGTGCTTCCTAGAGGCATTCAGAACAGGTCCACAGCTTTATTACTTTTAAGGGTACTATTTTGCAGATCAGCTCTCTGATTTGTTTTCTTCCCTGCATTCATTTCTTTTTTTTCCCCCAACTGTCCCACTTTCACCTCATAACTCATTTATCTCATTTATTATTTCTACTGCATTTTCATAACTTTCATTTCTATTACTCTTTTATTATCCTACTGTACTGTTAATCATTTTCCCTGTCTGCTTTAAACTCCACTTTTCTGATTAATGATGAACAACAGAGTGGAAATATCAGTCTTCCTTATTATTTACCATTAGATGCCTCTCAAGCTCTGCAGTAACAAAGTTTTGTCAATCCCTGTACCAATCAATATGCCATTGCCAGTTAAAACAGCCTGTCCAAATTATGGGCAGTTGGGTAGTAGCTAATCTCTTTCTCTCATAACATAAAATTTCATGAAACATTATAGTGCAGGTGATTAAACTGATTATTCAAATGACATATTTAAGTGAAATTAAGATTTCTCATAATTAAGCTTGCAATTCCATGGAATGTATTTGTGTGTGACATTTTGCCTAATAGATATTTAGAAAACTCTTGTATAGGTATAATTTTCTGATTCTGTAAAGCAGTGATTCTTAACCAGGTTGTACTAGGGAGACTGTAATAAAAGTTAGAAAGTCCCTGGAAGAAGCGAGATTATAACCCACAATATGGCTCCATGTATCTGTGTGTCTCACACCACATGGTGCCAGAAATGGGCCTGATCCCTCTCTCTAGGGGGAAAAAAAAAAGGAAAAGAGAGAGAGAAAGGGGAGCCCCCAAAGTTTTCTGTTGGCAAACATTTATTTTACACGTAATTATGCCATCTGTATTCTTTCCATATAATCAAAGCATAAGTCACTGTCATGTTCCATATAAGAATTATTCAATTTTGCTCTTTTTCTCAGCAACTCATAATATCTTTCTTTTCTATTCAGGGACCAATAGGACCTTCAGGACCCAAAGGAGAACTTGGTTTTCCAGGACGACCTGTATGTATTACTCTCCCAGATGGCATAAGAAAAAACAACTTATTCTTGTGCAGATATGAAAATCCTTTCATCCATTTCAGGGCCGCCCGGGATTGAATGGTCTGAAAGGTGTGAAAGGTGAAAAAGGCGAAACATATGTAAGTTCTGCAGAATTGATGCAATATAGCTCACTGTAAACACAGATGTAGTTAAACTCCTGTAACGAGGCTGATGGATAGGAATATGTTCGAGAAATAAAAGCAGCTTAGAGTATCTAGAAATGGTGACATGGCTATTCTATTTTATCTACTAAATAACTGTTCACAGCCAAATTCTTTAGCCCTGCATCCAGATGAGTAATACATACCAGGGGGAATAATCTTACTGACCTTAAGGAATACTCATATATGTGTTATTCATTGTGTGGCTTGATTAGGTCTGGGGCAATGCAAACACTTCTCATCTGGTATAGTACATAATGCATATAGACACAAATAGTCAGTGCAGTCTGCATTTCATGTAATGTCTATTGTATGACTGCAGTGCAGCATAGAGAAATGTGACCTGGCTTTACACTAATTACCATGGATACTGGTAGCACTCCGGTAATTGCAACAACAGAGCAAAGTTAAGCTGCCAAGAAGCTACAAGTCAGTGACAGCTTGTAAATGTTTCCATTGTCTATTGGAAATGTAAATATTGTTTAGTTTAAATTTTTGTTTTCTAAATGTCTAAATATGTAGGCCTAACTATAGTACTAAAAAATAATGGTATATATGTAATAAGTGTTTGCAGGATTGGATCCTGTGATAAGACTTGCATACCTAAATATATCCTATGACTGTTGAATGAAGAATATCAACTAAAATCCATTTTGGGGACCAGGAGTTGTGCCTGCATGTCTTTTTTTTGGTTGTTGCAATACTGCTGCCTAACCTCTTGTAAATGCACATTTGATTGTAAAACCCTACCCAGAGTCCCAGCTATGTCAGCAGCTGGACTCTTTCTTTAAAATGACTACAGATTCCTCTTGTACAAGAAAGAGTTTATAGGGCAATGTTCACATCACAGAGATGGTATCTTAGCTCTTCATACTGTTAGTGGGTGCAGCTGCATGAGATGTTAACTGTGCAGTAGCTTAATAACACTGCGCAGTAGCGTGCTGGGCAAAACCTATGCTAATATGCTACTGCACAGTAGTATTAAGCTACTGCATAGTTAACATCTGTAAAAACCCGTGCTCTGGTGCAACTGCACAGTATCACCAGTTACTGCACATTAATTTAGTGCTTGGTTATGCAAGTAGTAAAATTAATGTGCAGTAATTATGGCGCATTAATGAATGTGTAGAGGCTCCCAGTGAATTCTGTTACTCTGTTTACTGTATTTCAGTAGACAACATTTAAATTATTTCTATTGTATTGAAAATATTGAAAACAAAGTGAAATCCTGTATAGCAAATACAGATACAGATGATGATACTACTTTAGCTTATCAAAAAAGGTTGGGAGATTACTTGAAATACCCTGGCAAGAAGAAAATTTCAGGTACTAAAAGGCAGTTTCAGATGGCAGAGAGAGACATTACTACAGAAAATGGCTGGAGGCTGGAGCCAAATAAATTAATATTTGAAATTAGGCACAAGTATCTGTGTGAAAGGAAAATTAGTCAATGGAACAAGTAACTACAGAACATCTTTAAATCAAGACTGGATGCCTTTCTGGATTATATGCTTTTGCTTTAGCCAAACACAAGCACAAGTAATTGGCCTCAGTGCAGTGATAAATGTGTGAAATTTAATGGCATGTGCCGTTAAAGAGGAGGAAGTCATACTAAACTCAGCAACTTCTGAATTCAGCACATTTTTTTTAGGCAAGATGATTTTAATATCAAAATATATCTCTTCTAAATAACTTAGTAATTTTTTATTCTTAATAAGCCAATGTAGCTAAAGTAACTGCTGCTCAGTTTGGTGGAAAATAAATCAGGCTTTGCAATGGATAGACTATTAATCTCTGCCCACTCCCCCTCCTCCTACAGTCACCTTCTGTACTTCACCACCCAGCTCAGTCTACATTATCCTTTATGCCTAAACCTACAGGAAAGAAAAGAGCAGTGCAGTAATACCAGATAGATAGGGGTAATGGTCCATGAGGACCAATTCCAGTGTCCAGGACACCCCGTGGATGTAGTTGTAAGTGTTATATGCCTAACTGCGTTCTGCTACGTCACCATGGCATAAATCCAGAATAAGCTCACTGAAGTCAATGCAGTTGAATCTGGTCCATTTGTACATTATAAGACAGCATAGTTTGCTTGCTTCATTGTTCTGGATCTCATTCCTTCAGGCTTTGAGGTTTTTACATATATCCTGGATTAAAATATACTCTGGTCTAAATGCCATTTGTACAGTAACATTTGTAATTATGAGTCTCAGCAGTTGGAATAATCAATCCAAAAAAGAGTGGAGGGAAGGGGGTGTTAAGAATAAAGGTTTTCCTTATACCTAGCAGGGAGGAAAATGGATTTTTTTTTCCTGAAAGCGAATGTTTTAGCTGCCCATGAAATATTAATGGTCAAATTTTGCAATCCTTATTTCCTTTTTATAGGTATAACTTGTTCATGCAAACAAATGTTTTGCCTAATTTTAGACCAGTTAGCAGAAATTTCCATGTTTATATTGAACCCTCTGAATACTTTGCCCTTCTTTTTCTCTGTCAGCTGTCTCTGCTGTTCAAAAGGTTGTATCTAATTATCTTCTCCCTTTCTCTTCTCAGGGTCCTCCTGGCTTGCCTGGACCTCCAGGACCTCCTGGGCCACCGGGACATATAGCATACATCAAAGGAGTAAGTATCACTGTGGTCTATTAATCTGTGTGGCTATACCAAAGCTACAGAAATGATTTGCAAGCTGAAACCTTGAAAATTATTTTAGACTAGTGACTTTCAATTCGAGTGCCATAGCACCCTAGGATGCTACAATGTCCTTTTAAGGGTGTCATAGGGTGCCATTCAATAGTAGCACTGTTAGGTATACAAGCATTTATGCATGATGCACAAGATAAACCCAAACAGGAATCCATGGTGTCAAAAACATTCTGACTTATTGTGGTCTGAGTTCCTTGTAACAGAAGAATTGCTCTAGTATTTTTCTGTAACCAAAAAATGAGTGAAAGCTAAGAAGTGGCATTTTCTAAGAAGTGCTTTGCATCTAAAAAGGTTGAAAACCACTTGTAACAGGGGCCACTACCCCTGCTACTAAAAGTGAGGGAGGCTAGCTGCAAAGTAGTGAGTCTTTTACCAAGAGAGACAGGCAGCCAACGGTTGGGGGCAAACAGGCAGGCCAGAGCAATAAGCCTGCTAATTAGGGAAAAAGAGAAAACTCCTGAACTTGGCCCTGAAGACTGGAGGTGACCAGAATAGGAATGAGGAGGAGATATAGAACCCTAACCCAGGGCCAGAGACTCAGACTTGCCCTAATTGAAGGTGGAAGGAGCTACTGAATATCTCCTAGAAAGTTTGAGTTGGTTATGTCTTGACTGGAGATTTGGGATGGTTGGGAACCCACAGGCAGGGTGTCTAAGAGATACTCCACCCTGGTGGACTTAAGCTAAATGGTTTAGGGGCTGTAGCTGAAAGAAAGAGAGAGTCCTGCAAGGGTGTAGGACTTGGTGGTCTGCATAGGCATAAGTCAAGACAGGGCCAGGGGCCAAGAAGGGTCTGAAGCCCAGAAAAAACCCTGCAAGGGCTGGGGACCCAGTAAGTTGCATGGACAGAAACTTAGACAGGTCAAGGGGCCCAGTGAATGGAAAGAGACCTACCAGTGTCTGGTACTTGGTGGGCTGTGTGAGCAGAAGCTGAGACAGGGCTTGGGGTCCAGTGAATGAATAGAAGGTATTGGAGCCCAGAAAAGAGCACTGCAATATTCAGGGACATGGTGAGCTGTGTGGGAAGAGGCTGAAACAAGGCTAGGGACCCAGCAAATAGGGAGAGAACAGCTTGAACCAGGGCTCTGTTAGATAGAGTGGACTGAAGCTGAGTGGACAAATGGGAGCCCAGCAGGCTGGTGCATAGATGGGGCTGGGAGTCATGGGGAAGTTTGTTGAGGAAGATCTGTATGGTATGCAGGAGGCTGGAATGCACAATTACTGCCCCTATAGCAAATAGGGCTTGTAAAGTCAAGATAGGACCAATCATGGCCCGGTTGGCCCCCAGTGGGGCATAAGTGGTACCTTCTAGGCATAGCATGAGGGTTTGGGACTCATGACACTGAGACAGAGCTGGCAGGCTTGGAGACGAGAAGGAGAGTAAGACAGGGCCAGGGGCCCCAGAGCTGAGAGAAAGGACAAAGGAGTAACACCTTGCTCAGGCAGGATTGAGGCCAGGACATGGCTGCCCAGGGATGACCAAAGCAGAGTAAAGCATCCAAGGCTTACTTGGGTCTCTGATGGCAGCCTCCCATATGTCTTATTTAGACATCAAGACATGGCAGGTGAGCCTAGGAGGGTGTTCTGAAAGATTAGTTGGGCAGGACAGGGTTGTAGTGCCCACTAGAGGGTGCCATGGCCATCCTAGGGAGGTGGATCCTATCATATCACTATTTTAGATAACATGGAGCCAGATGCTGTTCCACCTATTGGGCATCTAAGTATGTGCCTAAGTAGGATTCTATTCCATCTGGCACAAGTCCCTGAAAATCCATGAATGCATCATCTGACCCTTAAGGGTGGGTCACAAAAAGTGGTAACTGGGAGGAGGATCCACCCAATTTATGTATTAACTGTTTTTCAGGGGTACGAACAGAGTGGAATGGGATTGTGACTTAAGTCCACTGCTGGCCAAATAAATGGAGTAGAATCTGGACCTTGGTTCTGCCAGCATGTTTTCTGCTTGTGTGTACAGGGCAGAAACTTTGAACTCAGCTGTTGAAACCTACTCTGATTGAAGAGATTAGCTCCATCCACAAAAGTTGAACCTACTGGTTGAACCATATTAGCTGAGATTTCCCAATATCTGAGCTGTAAAATACATTAAGATTGCTGTGCTGTGGTCTCACTTGGGCACCTAATATAATGCCTCTTTGCTGTATTAGTATTGTCTTTATTTACTGAATTCATTCCTCCCCCCATCCCCATTTTGAATAGACAGTTTTCCCAGTTTCTCCTAGACCACACTGCAAAATGCCCGTAAGTCACATACAGAAACTGCATGGTGCATTGATATACTTAAATGCATGGCCGTAAAACATTCTATCAGGCTTTTCCTCTCTTCTGTCTCTACTTGTGCCTTGCTATATGCTTCAGTAATGTCATGTGTCAAACATTCACTTTCAAGCAGGACCAGACCTTCAAGATAACAGATAGTGATTTTGCAAATGCTTATTTACTTAATATTGAACCACTTACATAATGTTTAACAGATGAACAAATAGTATTGTAACCTTTTGGCTTAAAACTCTTTGGCATTGTCCTGTTGCTCAGGTTTTTTTTAAAACACTTGAGACTTTATTTCATAGATTTCATAGAGTTCATAGGCCATATGTAGATGAAATGGGGGCCCTAAATTGAAGTGGTGGGTTTTTAAACCCACTTCAATTTAGGGCAGTGTAAACCCCCATGTTGTGTACACCCATGTCTTACCTGCCTCTTCGGCAGTGGTGAGGGGAGGGCAAGCTGCTGGCTGGCAGAGCAGTCCCAGGACCACAGGGCTAGACTGGTGCTTCCCTCTGCTGCAGTGGCCACCGCTCCCCAGGCAGCACCCACCCGCAGGCACCCGGTTTGGGCGGTCCTGGGGGGCACTGCGGCCACGGAGGGAAGGACTGGGTTCCTGTGCAGCTCTTGTAAGCAGGCAGACTCCAGGGGAGAAAAAAAAAAAAGATCAGTTTTGCCACTTTCTTTTTGCCTTCAGTGAAGCCTGCCTTCCTGGGCTGCTGCCAGGCTGCCTGCAGGGGCTGCCTTCACAGCCCCTGAGCCGCATGGAGCCCAGTGCTTCGTTCCGTAGTTGTAGGGCAGCAAACTAAAATTCCTCAGAGATGTTTTAGTTTGCTGCACCCCAAAGTCATTTAAGGCGCATTATGCCACCGAATGTGCTACAGCGGCTGGAATTCATGTGCAATACACTGCTGATGCGTGCAAACACAACACCATTAAAGCAGTGCAGAAGCATTTAACCCACTTTAAAGCGTTGTACACACATGCCCCTCATTTTGTCTACACATGCCCATAGATTTTTAGGGTCAGAAGGGACCTTAGTAGATTGAGTCAGACCTCCTGCCCTGGGCAGGAAAGAGAGCTGGGGTCAGGTGACCCCAGCCAGGTGCTTGTCCAGTATCCTCTTAAAGACCTCCAAGGTAGGGGAGTACACCACCTCCCTTGGAAGCCCATTCCAGATTCTGGTGACCCTTACCATAAAGAAGTTCTTCCTGATGTCTAATCTAAATCTGATGTCTGTCAGTTTGTGGCCATTGTTTCTATTAAGGGGTGCCCTGGTAAACAGAGCATCTCCTATTCCTTGCTGTCCCCCCTGATGAATTTGTAGATGGCCACTAGATTCCCTCTCAGCCTTCTCTTGTGGAGGCTGAAGAGATCCAGGTCCCTTATTATTATAAGAATTGTCCTTGGAAACTGAGCGTTTCTTTGGTACCTAATAATAAGAATGTGTATTGCTATTTTTATGATTATTTCTTGTACTGCTTTAAAAATCTCTTCACCATCAGTGGTCTAATCTGTTTGAATGTTGTGGTACAAAACACACATCAGCCAAAAATACTTTGTGGATTGGCTAGCTTCGTTTTGTGAGTTCCAAGGCATTGAATCTCTGTACAACTATCAAAATGATAGATCCACTTCAGATAACAAAAATAGGTCATTTTAGATCTTTTCATGTAGCAGCTTATATACCAGTATGGTACAGTGTATACTAATTGTAGTAATTATCAGCCTTTAATGGTTTCCCTGTCTCAGAGCACCATGCCAACATTCTTTAACTTTAGAAAGTCCTTAGGAGGTAGGTCTTTCAGTCCCTGTTTTACAGGCAATCAATAAATTAAGTGGAGTGTCCAAGGCTATGGAAAAAAATAGCACCAGAATCAAAAGTAAAAGTAAATAAAACATGTATGCACATGGAGTAGTAGATAAACTTCCAGTGATAGTTTGGATGAAAAGCACTGAAAACATAATGTTATCTTACAATCAAAAAGCAAATTCTATTTGCAAATATGCTGATGTTAATCCAAAATCATTCTTTTGGCTTGAACTGACTTAGCCTGCATTCACATTTGGGCAGCTGAGAGCAAGCTTGGCTTGACTGGCAAGAATGCATGTTTTTTACATCCCACTGAGAATATATTGCATGTTGAAATATGCACAGTAGTGAAAAACTTCTTCACTGGTGAGTATTTAGATACTGACAAGCTAACTAATACTGCATATGGTATTACTATAATATATACTGTGGTGACACACAAAAGCCCTGTACAGGTTGGAATATGGTCACTCTAAACTCTGTTAATGTTAATGTGTATAGATAATATTCTGAATATATTTATCTGTGTTTGTTTGCAGGTGAGCACTGTTTACCCTGGAGACCAGGGCAGTCTTGACATTCATGGTGAACATTTCCTTTTTGTAATACAATGTATTGGTTTAAATGAGACTCTTGTTTTCATAACCAAAGGGCTTTGTCATCACTGAGAAATGATCTGGTGGTCTCAGTTCTGTTCCTAGTAATTGAGTGGCCACATCCCAAAAGGTACTGACATTGTGAGGACAAATGTTGTCAGTCCCAGCTTGGAGGATGAAGAGCAAAAGAACCACATGATTATTTGCTCACTCTGAAACTCCAGTTTCTCTTACCCAAAGCTGAGGCACATAGCTATGGCAGCATGAGGCAAGCCCACAGCTCCCCTCTCTTGGTTTGGGTGCTGTGTTGAAGTGGGCTGTAAACATGTATGAAGTATGCAGTTCCACAGTGGGTACTTCTTTGCTCAGGCAGGACATCTCCATAGTAAATTCTAAGACAAGCCTGAAATAATGCCTAGGAAAGGAAAGATGGATCTGATTTGATTTCTAATTTAGCCAGCTCAGAAAAGTGGTCCTATGGTTCATACAGCTGACTTTGAAAGTATTGAATGGGTAGGGTTGCCAACCCTCCCAGATGGGCCAGGAGTCTCCCAGAATCCGCATTGATCTCCTGGTGACTATTGAAAGCAATCCAGGAGATTGATATTGTGAATGGGTTTAACAGTACAATTAATGACTAGAGGTGTACCAATACATCGATTCCATATTGGATCAGAACCGATATACGGAAAATTGACAGTATTAGCCACATCAGCCAAAAAAAGCTGGTTGTTGATGCTGTCATCGGTAAATGCCATGCACAGCTGCAGCGCAGCACACAGGAGCCAGGAGCGCAGCCCAGCAGCATGGAGAGCAGCCAGGTTTGACTGGTAAATCTGTTGTGAGGGAAGGGGCATGAAGGGGGACAGATCAAGGCGCCAGCGGTGAGAGAGGAAGTGGGGCTGGGGCAGGGGCAGGGGTAGGGGTAGGGACAGGAACTGCACAGCCAGGGCGAGGCAAGGCGCAAGATGAAGATGCTGCACGCACCCTGGGGGGGCATGGAGGACATGTTGAGAGGGGACCTTGTGGTGGCGTACAAATTCATAAGGAGGGAGCAACACGAAGTAGGCAATGATCTGTTTACCAGGGCACCCCCTGGAATAACAAGGAATAATGGCCATAAGCTATTGGAGAATAAATTTAGACTGGACATTAGAAAAAAGTTCTTCACAGTCAGGGTTGCCAGGATCTGGAATGGGCTTCCAAGGAAGCTGGTGCTTGCCCCATCCTTGGGGGTCTTCAAGAGGAGACTGGTCAGGCACCTGGCTGGGATTACATGATCCCAGGTTTGGTGACCCTTTTCTTGCCTGCCAGGGGCAGGGAGTCAGACTAGATGGCCCACTGAGGTCCCTTCCGACTTTAGAATCTATGAATCTATGTGCCCCAGAACTACGCACAGGGCAAGGGTGGGCTGTCACTGTGGACTGCAGCCAGGCATGGCGCAAGGCTCTTCCTGGCAGGAGGGTTGGCCTGGGGCTGCACTTGGGATGGGTGGCGACAGCAAATTTTGGGGTTGCTGCAACCCCCCCACCCCCAGCCTGCCTCCCAGCGCTGCTGCCTCCCACCCCAAGTATAGCCTGGCCCAGTACCCACCAGGAAGAGCTCAGTGCCACCCCAGCTCCAGCCCACAGCAGCAGCCCACCCTTGGCCCATGCACAGATCCAGGAGCACATGGCCCCCATGCCCTCCTAAGGTGCGCATAGTGGTGGAAGTCACCCCTCCTCCCCTCCAGATGAGCTGCTCATGGCTCCATCCCACACCCTGCCCACCCTGGCTGAGAAGCTCCTGCCCCTGCCCCAGCCCCACTCCCCCACTTACCACAGGGGCCTTGATCTGCCTCCTCCCCCATGCCCCTTCTCTTCCCCCCTCACTCCTTCCCCCACAACAGACTTACCAGCCGGATGCTGCTCTCCAAGCTGCCTAGCTGCATATCAGCAATCAGATCGGTATCAGCCAATGTGGCTCATTAAAAATTAGTCATTGGTATCGGCCCAAAAAATCTCTATCGGTACACCTCTATTAATGACATTACAACCTGCTGGAGAAAAAAAATCTCCCAGAATAGCTTCAGTCAGAGTTGGCAACCCTAGGAATGGGCCCAACTGCCTGATTCAAGTCAACTCCTGTCTGTTGTCAGAACTCCACTCTTCTGCATTGAGATACAGTATCACAGGCAGAAGCAACCCCTGCTTAGAGCAGGAAACATTGCAAGCTTCCTCAGAGGGGAAGGAGAAGGAGCAGCCCCACAACACTCCCTTTTCTTGGAAAGGAGAGCGAATATGAGCCTTTCTGGAGAAAGAAAGGAAATGCTGTCCCTTCCTTTGCTTGTTAGGAGGATGGAATGCAACTTGCTGAAGAGAAGGTAATTTCTGAGGCATAGAAAGAGAAGAATTAGGGGAGAGAACTAGGAGGAAGACAAAAGATCAGTGAAAGAAAAGGTGGGGAAGAGATGTGAGACTGACAAGATTGAACAGAACATGTCATATGGTCCTTCAGAAAAATCCTTATGGAGGCGACATAAAGCATAAAAACCGTAGTGAGCACTGAAGCCAGGGACTTCCTTTTCTTCTCTTGTCAAAAAGGATATTGGGGACAATAAAGGAACCAGAGCAATTGAACCTCTGGAATTCAGGGATGCACAAGAAACTCTTCACCAGCCTCCTGCCCCTTGTTCTTAAGCCCTTTCCCAGGGTATTGCTGGCTCCTGGGAGCCAAAGCTATGGAGGAGGCTTCTACTTGGAAATCTACTATTGAAATGTCCATAGGTCTGTAAACCCCACCCCTTCTGTCATTACTTCCAAATCTAAGGAGAGCCCCAAATCCTTTCCCTCAGTTCTGGGAATTTTTTTCTTGCCATGCCTCCCCTACTTCTTTAAAAAGAGAGGATACAACCCAAGTATCATGCAGAACAGAAGTGAGCCAAATTCCTCATTCAAACCTGAAGCTTCTAATAAAGGTTTTTAGACAGTCCCTCACAGAGATATTCACATGTTTGATGTAGAAAAGTTTGCACTAAATTTGTTATTTACTTCTGTGTAGGGCACTGGGCCTATCACTGATTTCAGTGCTTCTCTGGGAATTGATTCTTTACTTGTGTCCCCTTTGCCAGCTGTAGTAACAGCAGTGCTTTGGAACACTTGGTGTTGCTATCTATCACATTTTTAACTTGAGTCTTACAAATATTTGTTATTTAACATAAAGCTCCAGTGCCTGCAATCTGATGATTACATGAGAAACTAAGCCTTCGCTATTAAAAAAAAAAATCTAGCCCTTGTATTTCCAGAGGTATGTTTGAACTTGAGTAACTGAGAAAACTAGAACATAACACCTAGTGTTTTTAAAAATAATTTTAAAAAATTCAATGAAACTAGTAACAACTAGATTGAACAACTAGATGGTTTGGGATTGGCAATAGTGCACACCTCAATGTGCACCTACCTAGAATAATGGCCATTTAGGAGCTGCAACAGGAGGAGCATGATAGTTGTGCTGTTAACTCTCACTTCAGTCATTTTCCTGTCCAGAGCTTCCTGGACAGATTTCTTAGCTCCTTGTTTCTCTTAAGTCTGCTGATGTAGACTGTCTTTGGATACTCACCAGGTACTCTCACCTTGATTGCAAAAGAGCCTGCAGTGTTTGCCCCAGATTACTTTAATTAGCCCCTTCACTCCATTGTCCCACCTGGGAAATTACAAGAGTGGATGTTAATGTACTGAATAATTAAGCAAAATGGTCCCTCCCATGAGTTACTATGAGCTGTTATAAGGACCCTTTAGTTTCTTGTTGTATTCTTTCATTCAAGGAAGAGTTTAAGACTGATGAGCCAGCCTCCTACAATTTAGGCAAAACTTTGTGCATATTAATAGCTATCATTCCTTTTTCTCTAATTATGACAGCCTGTGGCCAAGTAGTAAGAGCCAGATCCAAAGAGGATGTAGGTGCCTACAGTATCTACACCCCAGAGTGGGGTCCAGGCCTTTTTTGAATTGCTGAGACTTCTCTGTTCAGTGTATGGGGAGAGATATACACCTTAGAAAGGCAGGCCAAAAACTGAATACGCTGAGCCAGGAGCTGCCTAGAATCGGCCAATAGGAAACACTGAACACAAGAATGTTTCTAAACTCCCGTCCATCTCAGAAGCTTCAGTGCTTGAGTCAGGGTTACCAGGGAGATACTCCTGTCCATTTGTGACCAGGAACCTAGAACCCATTCCTGAACGTAGATGCCCACCAATATTTTTTCAAAAGATCCGGCAGCACTGCTGTTAATGTCTGTTTTGTATACAATGGCCTAGTGGTTAGAAAACTCATCTAAGGAGTGGGACAGCTGGTTCAGTTTCCTCCTCGTCCTACAGATAGTTCAGACAAACACATCTCAGCTCCCAGACGAGTGCCCTAGACACTAGACTGAGCTATCTGGGTTGGGGAGCATACATGTTGCATGGACCAGGATTCTCATTTCCCAAGTTCCCTAAGCACTAGGCCACAGAGTTGGCCTCCTTTCCTGCTTTCTCTCTGGCTCCATGGATTTTGCATGCTTTACTGTATAATGTCACAGCTCAAACAGGAAAGAGTAGAGGGGTCCCTGCCTGTAGCCTGGTGCCAAGGTCTCTCTCCTGAAAGGTGGGAGATGTAGTTTGAAGCCCCGCAGGATGAAAACATCATAGGAAACCAAGTCTTCTACCTCCTGAGTCTTCTAACCATTAGGCTATTACATAACAAGCAAGTGGGCATCACTACTGTAATTAAAATGAAAGTAGCTCTGGTTGCTGTTTCTGTTGCTAAGTTCAGTGCAGTTGGTGTGCATTAGGTCTGCTCTGAGCACATCTATTGGATCAGGTTCCTAAAGGGACATAAGCAGCACTGTTACCAGATTTGCCCATCACCTTGGGGTGTGCGCATTTATTAGGGATACATTTCTAGGGTCTTGGTAATTCTATCAATGTGCTGCTTGTGTTACTTATGTTTCTATACGGAGCTGTGTATCTCCCTTCTGCAAGTCCTCACCCCCAATGGAGCTATCTTGCAGGACTCAGTTTCAAGGGGGCTGGGTTCCTCCAGTCACCAAATCAGTCATATACACACAAACACACACAGATTAACGTGACACGCCTGACCCAGCTGGGTTGATCAGCATGGACAGGCTGACACCCTCATAGGGCAAGAATCAGTTCATCAGAGCAACAATAAACTGCAGTCAGACACAAACTCACAGTTAAACAGAATACCTCTGAATCCAGCTGGGTGTCCAGCTGACACCCTCATGGGCCAGCATTCAGTTCATTAGGGCACATCTGAGCCAAACTGGGTAAATCAGCCTGTACAAGCTGATCCCCTTATGTGTTTCAAACTCAGCACGTCCCAATCTTTAGCCTCTTGATGAGCAGACCCCACAGTATTTTTGGGCTTCACAGGGATCTTTAGCTTAGGTAAAAGAAGCGTTGCTGCAGAACAAGTGGGGAAGGAGAAGTAGAGAAAGAAAAATATTCTCAGTTACTAGCAGTTTGACTATAAAAGTTATTTATTGCTAAGTATATGAAATATATAATAGTACTAGTAGTAATAGACATGCAAAGGAAAAACAAACACAAACAATTGCAATACTACCCTGGTTTCACTAAGTATTTGGGGAAACTTAGCTCAAGCTTAACTAGTACAGTTCAGGTTCAGAAATCTATGCCTAGAGAGAGAAAAGAGAGAGAGCGACAGCTGGAAGTCTCACCAGTCCAAGGCACTTGGGTTGCAGTGCTGACAGGTAAAGTTCTTAGCACAATCCTTGAAGGGAGACAATTTGTTTCTTCCAGCTTCTCGAGAACAACAGCAAATGGTGTCAGAAAGACTTTTCCTCTTGAAGCGCACACATACTTTGCTGCTTTTTTTTTTTTTACAGATTTTTATACCCTCAGTTCAGCTTCTTCAAAACATTCTCAATAGTGTAAATCATTGTCTTTTCTGTTGACAAGGTGTTACCTGGTTTGGAACATCTCAAAAAAACCTGACTGATAATCAGGAAAACATAAGGTTACGGAGTAACCAGACACTTAGGAGCTAGCTTGAAATTCCTATGGATAGCAGATATACTGATGGGATATCTCATGGTTTCTTCAGAAACAATAGATAGCTTGCAGCATCAGGGTTTGGGATTTTTACTTGTTGTGAACAAGCCTCAGCTTAGCATGACTTTTCCAGAACTTACTATAGTCTTTTAACAGACTTAAGGCAATTATTGGAGTGTTCATAACCTTTGGTGGGGAGGACTTCTAGCAGTCATCCCGGGAAAAGTATGACAACACTTGTGGTTAGGGCTCCAATGGGCTGGATGCTGTGATGAATCCTTTACCATTGTTCAAATGTTGCCCATACCCCCTCTGACTCAGTCTCTTTGCCTCAGCATTCCCTAACCCAGCAACCGAGTTTTAGTCAATCAAGTTTAAATAGGCCTCCCATAGTGGGACTGGGGAATGTATGGCCGAGATGTCTATTAAACTTTACTTCTGCTCAGAGGTGTGTGTGTGGGGGGGGGGGAGGTCCTTTGTAAATCTAGATTAGAATTGGTCTGATAAATGCTGAGCTGGGTGTGTGTAAACGTGGGTTGATTAGCATTTGAAGCACAGATTCCCCATCATGCAGTTCTCCCCTGCTTCTCTGATCCCAGAATTCACTGCGGTCTTTGCTTCGAGCATTCGTTTCTCCATCTCCCATGTAAATGAATGGTCATCTGGTTTCATTTCGGATGCAAATGAGACCTAGGGCAGTTGCTCCCTTATCTGGAGGGCTTTAAGTATGTCTCTCACAGCATCTTAATCAGTTTTGTTTAGGTAGAGGAGTGGAGAGCGGGGAGGAATTCTTTGTGAGTCAGACAGGCTGCCTCCTGTGCCAGGGTTCCCCAAGAACACAGATCTGAGAGGTAACACCACTCCACCTTGTTTCTGCAAGAGTATCCCTAGGCTTTGTCCTGGTATTGCACTGATGAACTTGCACTTTGCAGAGAAGCAAGACATTGGGGAATTATATCTGAAAGATCCAGTTACTTGGGAGTTCATTTCACCTGCAAGTACCAATTATGTAGAGTAAGGTGCCATTTTTGCCTAGACATGTAGCAGAGGAAGGCCCACATGACACTGGATGTGGGGAACAAATGCAAAAGGAAGAAAATCCAAGGTTATTTGGGTGCAGTTCTGCACCAGGCCAACTCACCAGGTAGAATCATTTTGCTAAAAACATGAATACGGCTCCAGAACATTGTCTGCTCTGGTTGACAGCTAAAATGCGTTATCGCAGAGCAACAAACAATAGTTGTGTTGACCTCCACAGCCATCAATATCCTTTTTTAACGCTTGCTGATTAGCAATTAGTGATAGAGCCTGCAGATAACAACTCTATGTCTGATCCTGCTCCTTCTACATTTTATTTGCTTGCACTATTTTTGCTAGGTTTTAAAGGAGAGAGAAACTCCTGGGGACTGAATGGCCCTACCGGCTTAAAGGGTGAAAAAGGAGACCAAGGCTCCCCTGGTCCACCAGGTACAGTGAATAGGCTCCTAAAGCTCCTTTGCGAGTTGGTTATGTTAAACCATTTAAATATCCAATGCACTTTAAATGCCACTTATTTCCTGTATTGAGATAGTTGCCTAACTTGCCCAGTCTTCATTAAGGTCTGATTCAGCAAGCTACTTACATATGTGCCTAGCCTTAAGCCCTGGTATATTTCACACCTGCTTAAAGTTGGACATGTAATTACCATATTTACCCAAATCCAAGATGACTTTGAATTTAGGATGACCCTATAATTATTCAATTCAAAACATGGAAAATCATATATTTATTTTAATTTTGCATGTGTAAAATCTAATTATTGGAGGGTCCTCTTAAATTCATCCCTCCCAGTACTACCCCAGGGAAAGTAGTCAGGGGAAGCAGCAGCTGGTGGGCTGGCAGCCTGTTCCACGCCCCTTGTCTCCCTGCTTGCCACCTATCCCTCCCCCGGTGCTTTCCCTTTCCTGCCACTTGTCCCCCTCTGGTGTCTGCCTCCCTGCTGCTTACCTTTTCAGCTGTTCTGGCTCTGTTTCCACTGGGAGCACAGAGCCACCTGGCCAGGCCAGGCAGTAGCAGCAGCTCCAGCTCCAACCTGGGTTGGGATGCAGGTCGGGGCCAGAGCCAGAGCTACAGCAGCTCCCCCTGCCACTCCACTTACCCCTTCTCCATGCTCCCTCTGCTCCAAGTGCCCCTTCCCTGTGCACCCATCACTTTCCATTTCCCTTCCCCTGTGCCCTTTTCCCAAATATCCTGCCCCACACTCCTTCCACTGCCCTTTCACCTATGCTCCCCCATCATGCACCCCTTTTTCCATGCCCCCTGCACTTTGTGCCCCTTCCCCATACTCCCCCCTAGCACTACATGCCCTTTTCCCTATGCTCCCCCCTGTACTGTGCCCCCTTTGCTGCACCACTTCCCTGTGCTCCCTTCATTCTATGATCCCCCACCCCCTTCCCCCATGATCCTATTCTGCACCACATGCCTCCTTCCACATCATGTACCCTCTTCCCCTGTGGTCCCCTTGCTCCATGCCCCTACTACCTGATGCATGAGGCTCCCTGCCCCTGTTCAGAGCTGTAGCAGCTGCTTCTCTGGCCCATACTCAAATCTAAGATGAGGTTTTTTTCCCCCATGATGAAGTGGGGGGGGCAGCTTATCTTAGATTTGAATAAATACAGTAGTTTCCTTGTTGGTCTAAGGGAAAAATCAACTGGCTTTTTGACATCACAAGAATCATTCTCTGTGAAGAATGATCACCCTGGGAATTTACAGTCTTATGAATATATACAATATGTAAATCATTGTTGAGAAATATTTACCTTGTTGTAGCCTTTCAGAGAATCTAAGACACCAACTCCCTGATTAGAGATGGTATCTCACTGTCAACTTCTTTCAGCCAGGAGGAATGAAATCTAGTTCTATGCATTTTGTAATAAATAAATATAGCATTCTGAATTCAGTGCTGCCACTTCTTTACTTTTTCTTTTTCTTTTTTTCTGATGCAACTAAAAACATGTAACCTGGAAATATAACAGGAGCCAATCAATCATTGAGGATTTAAGAGCAGATCCCAGTAGTGTAGCGAAGAAGGGGTGACCAGGGCATAAAAAAATAGACGCTGCTGCACTGCTGGTCTAGCCATTGCACCTGCCACCAGCAGCCAAGCAACCAGTCCTGTTTCCAGACGTGTAATGACACAGCCTGGCACCTAGGGCAGCAGCCACTCAAGGCAGCCTCTGATTGACACAGCACCATGCAATCGCAATTACAATTGTGCAGATGCAAAAACAGCTGTTTCTTTCCACACTTTCAAGTAGATGCATGGGGCTAGTGCCTCAGTTGCCCCACTGTAGTTATGTCATTGCCTGTTCCATCTACTAGGCTCCTAAGTGAACTTAACTGTTTTAATGAAATTCATTTGAATCCCTCTCAAGTCCCTGAAAAACCACTGTAGCCCTACACTGTGTGTGCTCAGAGAGGACATTGCACTCAAGAAGCAAGAAATTATTCCTGCATCTACCTTTGTAACATGCTTTAAGATAAATTCACAAAAATGCAATGAAGAAGGAGAAAGGAACCCACCTCCAAGATGTACAGTTTCTTCAGAACTCAGTGTAGGGTGGAACAGGATTTTGCTTGGGCAGTTAAGTCTACTTTGGGTGCCTGAAAGGTGGAATGGGGCTTGGTCCCTAGTTTTTGCAGCAGGAGTTGATGCACGTATTGAATATGGATGTATTTAAGTTCATTACATTTTGTGAAAAAAGGCGGATGTTGTGTTTCACTGTTTTGTGGAAGCTTGAATTCCCACATCTTAGGAAAAGAACAGAAAACTGGCAGTGCTACGTGGATAGATGTTAGAAATATTGAAATATAAAAAGAGTAGTGTAACATTAATAAAATACTAGCCAATTGCCCGTCATGAATGATGGGGTGTTTATGAATGTGTTTACATAACCCCCCACTCACCCTTCGGGGCCAGCCATGTAAACAGTCCTCTGCTGCTGCTGCCTCCTCCTCCAGCATCTGGTGCCATGGCTCCCTCCCCCTGCCCACGTCTACCCCCTCCCCTGGAGC